GAGTTATTAGCCTGTTATTTTTAAATACCAATATTAATTACCACGTCTGCTTTTTCACTCTCTCTGTGTCGTGCATGTAACCTGCCAAAACTCAAATGGAAATATAATTCCTTTAGCATTTGAATTTCCGATGCCTTACACGGAAAGCTGTCAATCAGTGTCAGCGGTGGGACTATTCTAATTGGCGTGTTTATATTGGGAGGTGACATCACTCACAGATGATTGCGCCGAATGCTTTGAACAATGGAGGTAATTGGTAAAGGCTCAAGATCACCTGTCTCAAGATCTCTTGCTGTTTCATGCACGTTAGCAAACAGACAGTGCAACCCACCTCTCCTTCTAGTCTTATTAGCCTGCCTATTAAAGTTTTTGTCTTCTGTGTAAAAATAACTTTCCTGGCTATATATTTTTGTAATAAAAATAAGCTTCGGTTTCACAAACTTGGTGCTGATAACAGCTTAACATTATTTACCTTGGGGTCTTTGCTATATTCCAATATCATTATGCCTCAATTAGCTAGTTATAGATTAAGAGTTGTTTATGTGTGTTTAATAATTCATGTTGTTAAAATAACACTCTGTTCCGCAAATACATTGCCTGCTGGTTTATTTAGCTACTTTTCAGTACACCACATTAAGTATGCCACTTAGTACTGTAAGACTTTGAATGTTAAAGTGCAAATTAACACCTGACCACTCTTGTGGGTTTGCTATTGTTACAATTAAAAATCGTAAAAGGGTAAAAACATGCCAGGCAGACAGTAAGCAACACAGCCTACAACAAATAAAATTGATAATGGGTGTGTTAGATTTATAGTGTGCGAATAATCAAGCATTGACAATAATCAGTCGTATTGGCGGCACTGAGGGGCCCCCCATGTAAAATTCTGCTTAGGGCCCCATAAAGGCGTGGGCTGGCCCTGATGCAAACGGTAATGCAAGATTTGCAATTGCGTTGGGATTATGTCACAATTTATGCACCCACATATGGAAAACACAGTTGAAAATACAATTTGCAATTCCTTTTGAAAATAGTCCAGAATATCCTTCCATACACACTAGGACTGAACTGTGCTAAAAATAAATAAATAAACTGTAAATTACTGCAATAAATAAAAACATTATTCTCTAATTATAATTATAATAACCTCCATGAATATTCAAAGCCTGAAATGCCTTTTGAAAGCCTGAAATGCCATTTGAAAGCCTGAAAAAGCCTGAAATGCCATTGTCCAATAAAAGATCAATGTTGAGGGTATGACCTAGTTAGTCATACAGCATTAACAATTAAAAAGGCTACTATAAATTATAATGCTCTGTTGAAATAAACTGACTGCTCTCAAGCAATTGACTAAAACTTGCTCTTGTGTTTAGTACATATCTGAGAATTACAGAATTACATAAAATATGTAGATATACACCAAAATGTCAGTATCAAAATCACACCATTGACAGAGCCATAAATACTTGAGCGAGGGCATTCTTCAGTGCTGCTGTTGTTCAGAGCATATAGAGGGTCCAAAATAAGTTCATAAAGGTCACTGGGGGGGCATTATTTGTATTTGTATATAGTTGTGTTTAGTGTCAATGACTAAACGAGCTCATTATGAAGGTATTTATAAATATACAATCATCCACACAACAGGACTGATGCTAATCTAATAAATATCGATGAAACCCTCAGAATGACTAGAAACGACAGAATTGTTTGCTGATTGCACTTGTGGGAGTTGTCCCAGCGCGAGACCAATCGATCTCATTCTCTTGGCTGACTTACATACTTGTTTATGGCAATCATATCCAGCCATACTCACAGCGCTTTGTCTTGGCGTTTGGGTACACTACGAGGATCTTTTGTTTGAATGGTCTCGTATAATGAACTGTCAAACGTTTAGCACACAGACCAATTGACACGGCAAATGAGCCGCACAGTAGGCTATAAAATTTTATATGGCACATTTAAAAACGGTTGCCCACCTTAATTTGCAGCAGCCTAATGTGGGTGCTTCCACGTCTCTCACGCTCGTGTGAATTGGTTTGCGATTAGATGCGTTTACAGAGACCGTTGACCGTTAAAACGGTTTGCATCCTGTGGTGAGATCTGTTGTATTGGGCTTCAAGAGAAAACGACAGTATTTTCAGTTCCAGTATGCGCCCGGTCTTTGTGCTCCTTGATGGATGATGGGAAACAGGTCTTCAGAGAGAGGCGAGAATCCCTGAGGAACTCCTTCAAATCCCGACGCCTATCAGTCAGTTTCACTCTTGATTTAAAATCCGCTGAGAACTTGAATCATCGTCCACAGTCGCGCGAAAGCACGTCAGAGTCATAGAAACGAAAAACTTCCGAAATTAATTGTTCTCAGTCAGAGTTCGTGTGAAAAATCCACCACTATGTCGTCGATGTCGTTTCCACACAAAATAAATGTTCAGTCTGCAAAAATAGCAAATCCATAACATCCAGGGCAAATGAAATCCTTCCAGTGCAGTGTTTGTTTAAAATACTAACTGTGGCTAATAAAAAAAAGCTATTTATTGTGGGGATAAAAATGGGCATATTTATTTTTATTGTCCAAATTTTTAAACACATTACAGTTTAATTTAAGCAAGTGAATGGCAGATTTAAATTGGTGTGGTCCTGAGGGTCCCAATGATCAGGACTGAACTTCGCTCTCTCTCGCTCTCTCTCGCTCTCTCTCTCTCTCACGGTGGGTGTTTGTGTGCAAGAGACAAAAAGGGATGGGGGGATTTACACATGTGTATTTAGACAGAGTGCATGACAACACATAGCCTAATGACAGAGATTGAAAAAGGTGATTAATTGTGAGAAAACCACATGTATTCCACATACAGGAGGCTCTTTTGTTTTCAAGTTAAAGAGTTAAGACAATAATGGCATGTCACAAGGTTTTCCAAATGCAATCCATGCAGTTTGGCGTAGGGGATTCCCATAAATGCTTATTATGATTATTTAATGCACTCTTTAACCACAAATGAAGTAGGTGATGGGCGGTGAAAGAAAGGGTTGAAGGGATGCTAGACTCTCGGTGGCCCGGGAGGTTTAACCGAGATAGGGGGATTAAAAATATATATATACAATGAAATCAGCAGAATGAGCGAGGGATAGAGAGATGGGTATTTGTGTGCCAAGGGAGTATGGGGTGGGGATATGAATGCATGAGAGAGGGAGGGTGGTGTTGGTTTTTCTGTGTCACTGAAAGAGAAAGCGAGTGAGGATGGGGGAGGGGTGCTAGATGGAGAAGCACAGAAGGGAGGGATGGAGCGAAAGAGACTGCACACAAAGCATTCGTATAGTGTGCATGTATCCAGGAGGAAAGAGAAAATTATGTTATGTATGCAAGACTTCCTTGCTCACATCTCAGAGCTGCTACAGTAACACACACACACACACACATGCATGAAAAAAATATTCCAGTGGTTAATTGTACAGCTGTTCAGAGTTGTTTGTTTGATGTTGAATAATTGAGAGCTTGTGCTATAAAAACATAGCTGAAATACATGGTAAATTACTTATTTATATGTAGTCCACTTTCAAATTACATCCTGACATCCAGTTCAATAAGCGATCCAAAAATACTGCCTTGCACTGAGTCACTTAGCAACATCTTACAATGAATGACTGAAAAGGAAGTGAAGAAATTACCTGGTACATTTAAGGTGAATGTTGTATGTCTTTACCTAAGCGAGGGTCAGCAAATGCACACAACCCTAAAGTAAAAGAAGGCGTTGTTATATTTGTACAGAAATCAAAACAAAAGCACGCACATCACTGGATGTGGTGCTCAACAAAAAAAATATTGATAATGAAAATAGAAAAAAGTCGGCACACCTAGGCTCCAAAAATACACAGGCTCTAATGAAGGTCTGACGAAGAGCTTGTGTGCTCGAAACATAACATGTAATAGTCTGTTATTAAATTTTTGTATTTTTGGAGCCTAGGTGTGCCGACTTTTTTCGATTTTCATTAGAAATGTACAATAAAATAAAAACTAAACTAAACTGAAATAAAATAAATAAAATTTAATTAAAATCAAAACTAAATATGAAAAACTAAATAAAGAAAAAATAAAAATATAATGAAATGAACTAAACTAAATATAAATATAGTGTCAAATTCAAGTGTCAAAGCTGTTCAGTTCTTTGACCATTCAATTCAGCTTCTGCACAGAAATATGATTACTATACACTCTAAAAACAAATCTTTTGGCTCAACAACAACAAAAATTATGCAACAGTTTGCATTAATCTTTTTAAGTTATGACAGCTTTTAGTGAAATTATGTTCAACCAACAAACTACATTGGGTTTTGATGATTTACAGCACAAATACAAATTTGTTTACACAAGTTGATTACTAACTAATAAGTTCCAACCCCTGGCATCAACTAACAATGAGCATTATTCTTCAACGAAATGGTAAAAAACCATGGTTTGTCAGCATAACAAAAATTATTTTAATTTTTTAAATGTCAATCATGACAGTGTTAAACACTAACAGATATTTCCTTTAACTATAAAAAACACAAACAATAACTTCAACATATATTCACCTTATCCAGTCCTATGCAAAGCATGCTGAGAACTAGAAATCCACTTCCTAATTTAAGACAATTTTAACTTATTAAAAAAAAAAATCAATTAAAAAATCTCAGTTTAAATTGCACACAATGTTAAATTGATGTAATGGTTAATTATTTTATTTTATCAGCTTGTAAACTCATCAAAATAATGTTTGGAACTTGCAACAAAAGGTTTAAATAAAGCAATAAATCAGAATTTTTAACTCGCAACCATGCATTTCTTTTTAGTTGTGGTAATAGGTCTGAGATATTAACAAATGAATACATATAAAGAAATTTCAGTGTTGCTAATGCTTGTGTTATCAAAATTCGACTGCATTTGTAAAAAGAGAATATAAAGATTTGAAAAGAATATAAAGTGCTTTTCTCACAACAGAAATAGTATAGAATTAGCATTTTTAAAATGCTTTCATTCATTGTCTTTGCAACTATTAAATTTAAAATAAGCAGTCATGCTTTGGGATAGTTCTGCATCTATAGATATATATGAGTGAAATTAGGCGCACATAATTAAGATCATAGAAGTCATTATACTGACTTCCTGATTTAAAATACATCAGGTATTTGATGTAATTAATAACCATCATCCCTAAGTTCAGATGATACATAACCAGGCGCTTTCACACATTGGGCAGCTGCACAACACATACAACCTGATAGAAACCGTTCTCTGTGTTGGTATGACCGATCACACAAAGATAGAGTTTATTTACTTCTAGCTTGCCGAAGTTGACATCTTTGGCCAGTTTAACAGTCCCTATCCCTTCAAACATCTTCTCTGTCATGGGCTCCCGAGATTTGGCCAGGGTGAGATGGTACGTCGGGCATCGGGAATGGCGGTGTAGCCAGCCCTTCTCCTTGAAGGCTTCTTGGAGAGGGGAATTCAGGCACTGGACATCGAACAGGGGTTGTGGGGTCACATGGAGAACAGTCCCATTAAAGTGCCTTAGTTTTGGAGTGAAAGACACAGAAATAGGGGGTTTGTGGGAGTTTCTGATTGTGGTACGCAGGAGCTCAGCAGCAGTGCGGACTTCCTCTGGGCCCTTCAGGACAAGTAAGGAAAGAGTGACGTGTAAAGTTGCAGGGTCCACCCATAGCGGCTCTGACTGAGGGAGGCGGGATAGAACCGTTTTCTGAATGCGCTGGAAGGCCAGGAGAGCAGCGGGAGAGTCCACGCGGAAGCAGATGAAGTGTGTGGGTCTGTTTGGTGGTGGACGTCTAAAAAGTGGTTTTGGCAGAATGAATGATACCAGCTCTGCTTCTGAACCACTCACTCCATCCCAGCTGTCCTTCCATTCTTCCACTATTTCAGTCTGTTCTTTTTTTGGCGTGATGGATAACTCCTTTGCCAACTGATTCAAACGGAGTTCTTCAGTAGCTGCCATCTTTTTGTCTTCTGGTGCAGATTGTTTTTGCAAAAGTAAGACGTCATCACTGGTTCCTTTCTCAGCATTTTCGGTAAATGAGCGATCTACGGCATCTCCCAGCTCTTGTTTATTGTTTGTTGTTGTAACTGAAGTTACAACATCATCCTGTTCTTCAGAAAACTCTGTCACTTGCTCTAGGTCATTTGAAACATCTCCTGTGTTGATGGACTCTTCATGTTGTCCAGTGTCAGTTGTTAAATGGTCTGAGAATTGAATAATTCCAGTATATTAAGAGAAATAATGTAATACTGTATTAACAGTACATTATAATTATTATATAATATAATAAAATAATATTGAAATAATATTGAAAGAATATTGAAATACATTTAAAGCTCAATGGCATGATGCTACTTTTTGTCCTGTAGTTTTCAAACAATACACTAAAAATGCAATATATACAACTCGAATATGCCTTTTCTGATGAGTGTTCTGGTGTTTTTAATTTCTGTATTAAAATTGATTTAGATATATTTTGAAGGCATAAGTCCTGGTATCTTGATGAAGAAAATAAAACCTTATTAATTAGTTTGACATACTCTTTTATTATTTCACTATTTTGTTATATTTTTATTATTATTATTATTATTACCGTTACTATTTTTTATTTGTTTATTGTTTCACTGGTTATTAATATTTGAAAAAAATATTGTCTGCCAAATCAAAGTCATGTGGTGCAATCAAAAACAGACACATGGTCCAACCAACACACTGGAGAAAAAAAAAAAAAGTGTAAATGCTATCCTAGGAAATGACCCAACCCACCCCCCACCCCCTCCCCAACTCCAAAAAACCTTAGTGATATTTATGAATTATTTATTCATGATTATTTATTTCTGATAATTATTCATGATAATGACTACCGAACAAAATACTGGTAAGGATTTTCTCAGAACCTGTTTTACTGGGCCAAAATAATACTGTCGCTCACCTTGTTGCGGTTCCTCACTGCCAAAAGGAGGCAAAATAGTCTGGCCCGTGGAGCCGAACACCCTGTCAGTGCGACTGTCTCTATCCCACACCCGCTGGCCTTTGTAGTTGAAGTATTGTATCCTGTGACGAGGGAGAGCCAGCTCCTCAGAAAAATCACAGTCACATACCTAATGAGGGACAGACAAGCATTAAGCCTGGTTATGAATATACACGACATATGGTAATGAAACATATTAGTGCTGATATAACACACCTGAGAGTCCCATGAGAAGTCAGAGAATGGGCGTTCCAGCACCCCAAGGAAACGGTCCAGGTGACCGACTATAAAATCAGCTGGGTCCACTGAGGAGTCCCATATAATTCTGGAGATGACTTCATCGGCTGTACGCATGCGTGGCTTCTTCTTACACCCTGAGACAGGAAGGCATCCATTTGTAATTGTGAAGAGTGAATCTGGAAGGTAAAGTGCCTCTGCACTTCATCATTAAATCTATAAACACACCTTCCTTCTCAGTCTCTAGATGCTGCTTTTCTGCATGAGTCTCTTTTCCATTTTTTCGGATCTTGCTCTGCTTTTCTGTATCATCTTCCTCTGAGTATGTGGTTTGAGGGACGTCAAGCACACTGTGAAGTTAGGAAAGAGCAATGCATTATTTATCCACTTAGCTTCAATGAACATTCCCGAGATCTAACAAATTTCACATCTTTTACAGCAACTACAAGACACTGTGCCAACTGCTGTTGAAATGAAAATACCCAGATAATAAATCATGTCTACCATGAGGTTAATTCACTAGTTGAGTCTCTACCATCCAGAGTGAATGACAGACCTGTGAGACAGTCGACATCTGTCTCCAAAATGACATCTGCCCAATTGGAAGTGCTGGCAAATGTTTTGGCTAGTTTCTTGTTTCATCTCATCTGGTACAAAGGGAAAGGGAAGAACAAGATATACAATTGCATTCATGCACTGACTGATAACGCACGACAAAGTTAATCTATAACTACTGGGACAATAAAAGTTAAGTTCTACCAGATTAGTTAAGTTAGACGTGATGTAGCATAGTGTGAAGATGTAAATGGTGGTATTCAAAACAGGTAATTTTACGATGGACAAAATAAAAGTCTGAGGCAAATAGTCTGAGGCTAATCTTTTATTCATCAAAGAATCCTGAAATGTATCACGGTTTCTACAAATATATTAAACAGCACAAATTTTAAAATAAGAAATGTTTCTTGAGCAGCAAATCAGCATTTTAGAATGATTTCTGGAGGGTCATGTGACACTGAAGACTGGAGTAATGATGCTGAAAATTCAGCTTTGCGTCACAGGAATAAATTACATTTAAAAAAAACATTCAAATAGAAAACTGTTATTTTAAATTGTAATAATATTTCATAATCATATGTTTTTCACTATACTTTTGATCAAATAAATGCAGCTTTGGTGAGCATCCTTCAAAACATTAAAAAAATCTTACCAACCCCAAGCAATTGAATGGTAGTATACATGTAATCTGTACGAAGGGATCCTTTCCCTGAAAGGTAGGTACATATTATATCCTAAATCTCCCCATGTAACAACAAACGACAATTTGGGGGCATCAACACAGCACAAATGTTCCTTTAGAAAGCTTTTGGACGAGGAGGTTTTAACTGAAAATAGCACAATAATGGCTTGTAAGTGCTCTTAGGACCAGTGGTGTGGAAGCAGACCTCTCTTTGTGAATTTTATATTCTCTACCCTGCACTTACAGTAAGCCTACAGCAATTTTGCACAAAACTAACCTATTCTTGGCTAGAAATTATGGAGAATTATATGAAAAGGCTTTTCACTGCCATCTTCAGGTCATTTGCATTATAGCCTCCACCTCTACAGTATTTGTTAAAGGCGGTGACCAAAAAGTTTTATTATCAAAGTAGACCATTTTGTAAATGACCAAAGCAGATCATTTTGTACATTTCAGCTAATTTTTAAGTAATGTATTTCAAACTACTTAAAATGGCGAAATGACAAAAAAAAATTACTAGCACAACAAACTCATAAGCTGTGAAGAATAACCTTTAGAATTAAAATACAGCTTTTGTATTTTACATACTCATTTTTCGATGACAATATAAGTCATTTAAGTGTAAATAAATGTCACATATGTCTTACCTATGAGGATTTGTCTGTCAGGATCCTCTGTCAGGTTTTTCTGAGTTCTCTCTTCCTCATATGCCATATTTGACAGCTTCAACAGAGATTAATTGAAACAAACATGTTACATTTAGAGCGATTTAGAAAGCAACTTAAGCACAGTCATTTTGCTAATACTGTACTGTAGTCGGTAAGATAAAAAATATTATGTAAAAACCATTTTGGCATAACACGGGAGAGCATGAATCAACCTACCTCAAGTCACAATCAGACAACGGTCTTCGAACTTGACTGGTTAGTGTTAATGATAACACGGACATAACATAAGATGACATCATCTGGTTCAAATGACTCATAGCTAGCCTACAAACTGCGCGAATGATTGAGAACCAAATACATTACACACACACTAATGAAACAATGTAACTCAAAAGTAATCTTTTGAACATAATATTGGTTATAACATTTACTGTAAATTTCATAACATAGGTGTTTATTATTGTCAAATATACTTGCTGTGCTGCTAAGGCAATGTTCACAAAGCTACTTCCGGTGTTAAGTCTTGGGGTTCTAATGGGTATTGTAGTTTTTGGGCAAATGGGGAAGTCTGAATCATTTCAGCGAATCGGTTCTTTCAAACAGTTCGGTTCAATGTCTTCATGTGGCCAAGCATGGCATATTACATGTTCTATGTATGATTCCGCTCATAAAACATTAAATGTCATTTGCATTTACGATGAACAATGAACTAAAATTATTTGACATATTTCGCCTGAGAAAGGCTTTTGCATATTTTGGAGTGAGCTGTTAAGTTGACAACCGCTCGGACCGTTCAGTATGATTCGTGAATCGTGAGTGATTTACTTAAACCGGTTCATTTGAATCACCAAAATGATTCGATTCTACAGAAGATTCGTTCATGAATCAGCGATCGCTAAAAGGCATTCAGCGGATTACGGAAGAGCCTAAATCAATTAAATCGGTCTAAATAGTAAACATATACATGGTGCCACCATGTAACTACAACAGAAAAACATATTAATGGATTAATATTTGGACTGTACCGATGGCTATTCAGTGTGAGAGACAAGAGCAGCTGTGTGAGTCACGCATACGTTGTGATCTAAGCGCGTGACTTCCCCATCACATGACACAATGGCTGAAAAGGATGGACCTAACAATGTAAACAATCAAAATAATAGTTACGAGCTTATTTCAGCGACGATTTAGTAAAACATACCGGTGAGGATAGTGTACCATTTATGCGGATTTGAAAAAAAAAAAATTACATCGTTAGCAACATGTAAGAGACAACCATGCAGAACCTGTAGATAGCTGCTATTGTCAATACTCCATTGCAATGCCTTGTTCTTGTTAGTTTACTGTCAGTACCAGTCAGCACTATAGCTGTACCCAGCTGATAAAGGTAAGGATATTGTGTTTTCTTTTGTATTTAAATAGGTCAAGACACCACTTTTGAACAGAGTTACGTTTTATTTATATAACTTCCCCAGTTAATCACAATATACGTTTAAATTTATTACAAGTTGCCTTAAATGTTGTGTTGAAATGTGCAGATGCATTATGTAATTAAAAATGCACATTTGTATACAGTCATGGCCAAAAATTGGCAGTGACAGAAATTGTTTTGCAAAGTTTGCTGCGTCGGTATTTGTAGATTATTTTTCCACATGTTTCTATGGTATAATGAAAAACAATGATAAGCGTGTCATAAGTTTTAAAGGCTTTTATTGGCAAAATATAATGAGTCAATATTTACAGTGTTGACCCTTGTTCTTCATAACCTCTGCAATTCGCTTTGGCATGCTGGATATTAGCTTCTGGGTCAGATCCTGACTGATGGCGATCCATTCTTGCCTTATTAGTTCATCACAATTTGTGGGCTTCTGCTTGTCCACTCGTCTTTTGAGGACGGACCACAATACAAATACTGAAGCAGCAAACTTTGCAAAACACAAAATTTATATCACTGCCAAAACTTTTGGCTATGACTGTACATTTCCTGAAAACAGAAATCTGAACATAGGATAACGGCAGTTTCAAAAATGTAATTTTGTTGACACACTAGTTTTTTACCGAGGGGATTTTGGACATTTTCATTTTTTTCTTTTTTTCACTCAATAAATCAGATAATACTGTCAACATTCAGGGGGGAAAAAAACAAACCATATTTTTAGGAATAAAATTTTATATAAATCAGTCGAATGTTAAATGAACAAACCCCTCTGTAAAAACCTTCAGAACATAGATATGAATAAAACTGTAGAGTTTGGAAACAAAGTAGCCCAAAATATTAAAATTGACTAGTTAACAGTTCATACGAGTAATAATTACTGCCAGAGTCAACTCTAATCTCCCTTAAGTTTGTTTAGCATTATGCATTGAAGGCCTGTTCTGGTTTATAAACCACTTCTAAATCTCACCCTCATTCTTTCGAAATGTAAAAAAATGTGCGATAATCTCACATATTCTCATACAACCTTTTAATTACCTCCAGATGAACGCTTTAGTTGCCCTTTGCCACTTCTGTGAACTCCATGGCCCGCGGACGCTATTCTGTACAGAGGCCGTCCACCCTCCATCCCCGTCTCCTCCGCAGCCTGGTTCAGCCATTCCTGGTGACAGGGACCGAGAGGCGGACAGAGAGGGTGAAGGGCTCACCATGAGAGCCAACAGCTCTGCCACACAGAGAGCTGACATGTGTGAAGTAAGTGAGAAAGTAATCTTGTCATATCCCAAATGTATGTTTAAATCCGAAATCCAAGAAGTTCTTCTCTTTAATGTCTTATCTAATATATGTCTTTCTCTCTCCAGGGCTGTCGCTCCCTACCTGCATCTCACCCAGGCTTTGTAAGTGTGGACAGTGAGACGGGAATCCGCTATTTGAGCCACCAACATCCACGCCAGCCACAACTCTTCAGTGTGGTGCGACAAGCCTGTGTGCGCAGCCTCAGCTGTGAGGTATGCAAACATTTATGTTTTAATTTATGCATTAATAAATTAATCTAAACTTGATTAAAAATGCATTAAAATGTTATGTATTATCTGCTATTGCAGGTTTGTCCTGGTCGAGAGGGGCCCATCTTTTTTGGAGATGAACAGCACGGATTTGTTTTTTCTCATACGTTTTTCATCAAAGACAGCCTGGCACGGGGCTTCCAGCGCTGGTACAGCATTGTCGTGGTAGCCATGGACAGGATCTACCTCATCAACTCCTGGCCATTCCTGTTGCGCCACCTGCGGCAAACCATTCAGAGTCTACAGGACACAGCACTCAAGGTACTGGACTGCAGCACCACTTTAGTACTGTGATTGACAGAGTACCTCTTGGAATGATGAGTTCCTTGTAGTGTTGAAAATATTACGGTTCGCCCTGTTTATTGCCTTGCAGGTGTTTGACAATGAGCAGTGTGTGTGTCCTCAGAGGGCTGTGCGTATGAACAGTGCCTTCTCCCCGGCAGTGTTCCCTCACCAGCGCAGCGGCAATGCAGCCCGCTCACTCACATCCCTAACCCAGCACCCCAACCTGTGGGCTAGTCTGCACTCCTCATTCAGCTGGTATGTAAAACACAGTTAAAAAAAAGCAGTATTCTGATCATTTTTGACTTTTTAACTCATATTGTGACTTTGTATCTCACAGTGTGACTTTATTTCTAATAACTGCAACTTGTTATCTCACAGTTGTGACCTTATTTCTCATAATTGTGACTTTATATCTCAAAATTGTGACCTTATTTCTCATGAATGTTACTTTATAATGCATATTATAATTTTAGAACTTATACTGTGACTTCATCTCACAATCGCAACTTTATATCTCACAATGGAAACTATATCTCACATTGGTGACTTTATTTTTCATATTTTGCAACTTGATCTCATAATTGTGACTAAATCTCACAATTTCTACTTTGTCTCAGTTGGAACTTTATATCTCACATTTGCAACTGTATTTCTCAAAACTGGCACTTTATATCTCACAATTGCGACCTTGTGCAGTGTTGTGACCTTGAGACAGTTGTGACTATATTTCTCATAATTGCATCTATATTTCTCATTAATATAACTTTATAACTCATATTATGACTTTGTAACTTATATTGTGACTATCTCGCAATTGTGACTTTATTTCTCACGTGCAACTTTATCAAAATTCTGACTATTTCTCATAATTGATATTTATATCTCACAACTGAAAACCTTATATCTCATAATTGTGACTGTCTCAACTGAGCAATAGTTATAGTGATACTTTTCTTGGCAAACACCAAAGCAAACACACATACAGTATAGGCCTAGCTACTTTTTTGAAATCGTTATACTTCCTCTCACCTTGTTAATTATCTTTATTTTAGGTTGCTGAAAGCTTGTGGCAGTCGGTTGACCGAGAAACTTTTAGAGGGGGCACCCACAGAAGACACGCTCGTTCTCATTGAAAGACAAACTGGTAAAATGAATGCAATGAGTTAAATAATTAAGATTTACATTTTGTTGTGTTAAAATGTGCTAAAATTGTATTTTATGCATACAGCCAGATTTTTTGTCATGAGATACTATTGATTCAGTGGGAATATTTTAATTATTGTGTCTGCTGACAAATTGATTTTCCAACTGTTAAACCGGGTGTCTGACCCACATTTTCCTTTCCCAAGGTTCTGCTCCTGATACTGACAAACAAACAGCTCTCCAGTGATTTTTCAACTTTGTTCATCTTTTAGAATCCGAATTATAACAATAACTTGCCATAAGCAGAGGTTATACTGTAACGTTATACTGTACTGTAGAGTTCAGCATGAAAAAAAAAACTTTCACAGCAACATTATGTATAATTCTCTCACAGAGCAAGAGGAAGAGAGGAGTGGTTGGGATGGTGCTGAAGGGGGTGGGTCTAACCCACAGCCCAGCCAATCAGAGAGTGTGCAGCCCAAAGATTTTCAATTTGATGATGGAAGACAAGAAGACCTTCTTGGGCCAAAGTTCAAATCACTGAGACATTTAAGACAAGTAAATAAATGTTTACTCTGTTACAAACAGCAGATTTTGTTTCAAAAATATAAATCTGACAATGCTATATCTGATTAATGACAGGTCCTGGGTGCCAATGATTTCCGACAGCTGGCATGGCATGTTCTCATGGGAAATCAAGTCATATGGAGAGGTGCAGACCCTGGTCTTATCCAGTCAGCTTTCAATGTGCTGAAGGTCAGCTAAATACCTATGCATACAATATTTCCATGATGCGGGTCTACACCATAAAAGCACATCTGTGTTACAAACTACAAAAGTTTGGACAAACTTGACTGAATTTGTTTCTCCTGATCTTCAGAAGAGTTTGATTAAGCCTGTGCTTAAATGCTTGGGCAAAATTTGTTTTGTAGAAAAATATACATTTTGTTTACATATTAATTAAAAAGTTGTTTATTTTTTACATACAATTTAATAAATTTTTTTTTTTTTTTTTTGTATTAAAATTTATTTTTTATATTTGTATTTTTATGTTAAACAAAATGTTACACACATGTACTCTTTGTAATAATATAATGTA